CTACTAATCCTTTACTAAATGTAAATTGAAAAATGTAAAATCTTATTTAATTTCAAATGTTTATTTTCAATCATGGCTTCATAATTAGACTTGGAATGGGGACCCAGAGCACCGCAAAAGTTTAATCAAAAAATTATGTATCACTTTATAAATTTCATTTGTATTTTATAAAATTCTGCGGAAATCTGAATGACTTTTATGTTATGAGGTTGACAGAAGCTATCACGTCAAACATGCAAAATTTGAACGTTCAAAGTTGTAAAATGGCTGAGCAATCAAAGTTAGAACTTATTAAGACGGATCCGAATTGTTCCAAAAAGGGACGTTTTTGGAATATTTGGAGCAGTGAGCAGTGATAATATTCTGCATAGACATCGGATAAACAACTACAGCTCTAGACCAATACACTTTGTAAACAATCGGGAAAACATAGTAAAGGAAGTCGTACAAACATGTACATTAGTATTTAAGTGGCATAAATATTTTCGGTCGGAAGGAACAGTTTATAGGATTACATGCGTGAAGGAAAACCATCATTTCGAGATTGCAGTGTGGTAGAAATGACTTTCATAACGTGACTTTACCGTGTTTCCGCAAATAAAATCCAGAGGTTGGATGATACAGAATATGAGACAGGCATTGTTAAACATTATTTTACGTGTGAAACCTGAACATTTTGTGCACATATTTATCAGTGGTTAAAGCGACATAAGAAATGTATTGAGTTAAACAGGGACTATGTTGAGAAAAGTTACATGCTTTTGACGTCGGTTAACGTCAATAATTTTCATTTTTAGTTCTCCGGGTATTAGTGTATATCTTTTTTCAATCTAATAAAAATTTAAACTATTTGTGCTTTGTTTTTGTTGAAAACTTGCATGTTAATAAAATGAAACATGAATTTAATGAAAATAATAGTTTCATATATTTTATCAATGTTTGTCAGTAATATCATCAATGTTGTCTACGGACATTACTCGTAATTTTTTATTTAAAAATATCAAAATTTCGCTTATTTCCTTTGCATTTCTAATTGTATAAAATAGACATTACTTTCATAATAACTTTTTTTAAAATCCATTTTTCCTTTTTTTTTTATTTATTTATTAATTTTTTTTTTGGTTGAATCATTTATAGATTATGACCAAAATAATGATTTTTAATTTTATATATTTTTTTTTTAAACAAAAACCATTGTAATTACGTTATAATAATTTGTATAAAAAGACGTTTGTAATAAATCATGACATACATAACACTTTGAATTCAAAGTCCAATAAGCCAGCACTGTGTTCTCCGCTTCAAGAAAAAAGAACATACCGGTATTCTCTAGACTGGGATGAGGGGAAGGTGGGGTGGGGGTTGCGTTTTAAAAAGGACGACGGGGCCATAGGGAGTTATTTCATTGCAAAGGCACCCCCACCCCAATGCCTTGGGAAACGCTTAAATGATTAATTATTAGAAATTATAAACGATAGCTTGTATTTTTTTAATTCCATTTAATCGATTAGTACAGGAGATCAATATGCACCTAGCACATTTTTATAATTCGTTGTTTCATACAATTCAGGTTTTCAATCATAAGCCCACATATAATGAATCTCAAAATAGACTTGTGGCGTAAACACGACCTGCTCCTGGTTAAACCAAAATAAAATCAGTGTTATGAATAGAACTTTGTGTATAAATATTGCTTTTAAGTGTTTAACGCATGGCCAAAGTATATATATTTCCTGAATTCAAGTGAATCAACTTTTAAAATGGAGAAAACAAAAGCAGTTTTAATTGTGTACTTTTTCAAATTTTGAAATATTTAGTTCAAAACCATTGAAGATTCTATAAACATTAATTGTGTGTGGGTAAACATTGACCTATGCCTGCGCTCTTAGGCAACATTATATCAGAAGAACAGATGCATCGCAATGTCAAACATGAACACGTGAATTTTGATCGCAAAAATATGAAGACTTAATTTCCATAAACTTTATTTAACCTTTTGAATTTTAAAGATACCGGTATGCATGTTTTCTTTCGTAATATGTCGTCCACGAGGCGCAGTTCTTAGAGCGTCTGCTCAACAGTCGCGGAGTAAGAAGTTTGATCCATACGTCCACTGTGGGTCGTGGAAACCGGTCCTTCAGATGAGACCGTTTAAACCGTGATCCCATGTCGCAGAAGGCACTGGCACAATAAAGATCCCTCCCTGCTCATTGGTCTTGAGTGCCGAGTATTGGACAAAACTAACAGCTCTCCACCGGCAAGTGGTGGTGTCTCCACATGAGTGAAAAATCCTCGAGAGGGACCTTAAACATTATACAATCAATCTTGCGTTATATACTCTCTAATAAAACCTTCGCTTTCTGACCGTGCGCCGTAGGACCGTACCTGTGCACATTCAAGCATAATACAATCTTTATTTTTGTTTATATTTCATCCAAAAAATTATGATGCCCTTATATATGATAAATAGACATTCACTGAAAATTTCAACTACATAAACATCCTTTCTGTGCTTTTAACCTTCATCCCGTTAATAAAAAATACCGTATTTATTAACCAACTTTTATTCGCGACGGCTTAATTTCGCAATTTACCAGGGGTAAACTACTTCCCGAAAATTATTTTTCGCGATTAAGCTTTTTTTTTAAAATCTGTTGTTGATAGACACAGAGACTTTCAGGACAGTTTCGCGGCGAGAAATATTTGCAATTACGAGGCTCTCGCAAACTTCGCCAAAATTTCTCGCACGCGAATAAAATTTGGTTTACAGTATTCCATGGATTTGTGTGTGTGTGCCCGTGTGTATGTCCGTAACAAATTTCACTAGCAGTTTTCTAAGCAACTACTCATCGCATATGCTTGAAATTTTAACAGTTTTCTCTGAGGCATGCCATATAGTGGCGTTCATTTCTGGTTGAATAGGATGTCAACTTCCTGTTATCCGCGCTGTCCGTTTCGAACATAACAAATTTTCGTCGCAGATTTCTCAACAACTACTCATCGCAGATGCTTGAAATGCTAGCATATTCTTAGTTGAGGCATGCCATATGGTTCTATTTATTTTTATATGAATCTTATGTCAACGCCCTCTTTATCATGTATTATCTGCCCGTAACTAAACTTGTATATTTACATGATCCTGTATGTTCACATCAGAGCGGGGGTATTACTTGTGAGCATTGGCTCACAGACTTTTTTTAAATTTTTTCCCCTCTTATCCCGTCAACAAATATATTGAAACTTTCTGGGAAAAAGGTTTCCCCACTTACATACCGACCCAATATTTTTAGCTCTAGTTGGGAGAGAACAAGAAAACGTCATTTTAAAGGAGGCCGTACGTACTAATTATAACTTACATTATCCTTAAGCCAGATGTTTAGAATAACTTTACAGAAAAATAAAACTTGGTCTTAGTTGATGGGATGACATTAATTATGCAATGAACTCTTATTTTTGAAAATATGTTTGCACATATCATTGCAGTAATGAGATTATCTTTCAAAAATTAAGAATTCGTTACTTATATTCACATTTTCCGCTCTCTATCTTGACTGCAAATGTGAATTATATTTAAAAACCTATGTATTAGGCATCATGGAAGCTGTACAGTGAATGGAAGAGCCAAGTAACAGCTTCTGATCAACGCGAGCGTGAATTTTGATTTTCGCTTATGACGTTGTATTTCATTGGCGTTCAACGACTGTGAAGTCAAACTAAAGCGCGTGCTTTAACCTTTTGAAACCTAGGCCTCTCCGTATTATGGTGTTTTAAATGCAATAGATTTCCATTCACTTTAAATGCACAAAACATGTGTAATGTAAATAATTATATGTATGATATATTGTGTCAAATATGAAGGCCCTATCATATGCTATGCAAAAGAATTACCAAAGTTTTTTTTTTTTTTGAAAATTAAGTCAAACATCAAGGTGAAGGAGAAAAAAAGTAAAGCATGCTCGGAAACATCTTGTTACTGGCAATGCACATGTGTAATAAGAAAGCCCCATATCTTCTCTATCAAAAGAAATAAAGATTGATAACATTTTTGAAAAGTCAAACTTCAAGGTCAAGGCCACGGGGACAAATTCATAGCTGTGTATTTCTAAAGGTCTTGTCACAGGTTATGAACATATTTAGTATGAAAACCTGAAGTTTTCTCTTTCAAAGGTTATGGCAAATATAATGTTACTGTAAATGTTAAAGTTTTTGAAAAGTGGGTGAAACGTCAAGGTCAAGGAGTAAAAAATCAAAGTATATTTGAAAGTATCTTGTCACAGGTAATCCACATGTGTAATAGTGTAATATGAAAGCCCTTATATCTTCTCATTCAAAAGCTACATGTATGACAAAGGTTAAAGTCTTTGTGACAGACGGACAGACTGACAGACGGAGGATATTTAATGTCCCTTCGCTTTCAGGAAAGCGGGGGACGAAACAACGACATTAATAACTTTTAATCAGTTTTTTTTTCATGGAAAATTGTCAAAAATAAACCATTGAAACTTTAAATGAAGTAAAGAGAAAATACTAATAGACACAAGTTTCTTTTTAGAATTATATCTGCATGTATTTTGCATAAACCAACTCTCTCTCTCTCTCTCTCTCTCTCTCTCACTCTCTCTCAAATAATATAATTGCATAGTTATTGGAGAATAAAAAGTAATAAATAATTAGTGATAATTAGTTAATTCTCAACATTGCTACTAAAGTAAGAAATTAATATAACAATATTTTTTTACAAGGAGGAAACGCTCTATGAATTCATAGAAAAAAATATTTCCGTTTTTTCTCTTCATATCTTTATAATGCATTTCATGTTAATCATATCATTAGAATTATTATGCCTAAAAATATTCACGTCATTGGATATTTTGTTAACAGTGAAAACCTAAATCTAAATTTAAAACAATAGGAAACCCCACAACATACGAACATGCTGGTATATAAATATTTCCATAGAAAACTTTTCTATGTGAATTTTGTTTAGGAAAGTAAAGAAGGTTAATATTTCAGCATGACATCGAGCTACTTTTCTACCCCATATAGCTATCCCACTAACATGCAGGTGCACAATCCAGTTTCCGTCTACCCTGTAAGTGCGTTAAATGAAATGCAAAACTATCATGAAACAATTGTCGTACCAAGCGTATCTGGTAGAAAAAAATTTAGAGGAGTTTGGTTAAAAATGTGTTTACTGGTCTCCATTGTGTTTCATTTCATTTTCGTTGCTCTCATCACGTGGACCCTCTTAACATTTTACAAAACTCAACAAACAGAAGTCTGGACAAAGCCTGTGTTTGAAAAGGGACAACCCCAAATTTTATCCCACAAGTTTCTGCGGACCAATTCATCTTCAGTCATTTGTATGACTAGGAAATGCATTTCATGTCAGAGAGAGCTGATAAGAGTTCTAGCTGGAAAGAATGAGTTCTTTTGTAGGAATATTGAACTCTCGTTGGAATTGCTTGCTAAGGAGGTGAGTTTTTTATAATTCAATACCAGGTTTATTCTTTCTCATTTGTCGGACTGCTTTTTTCCCGTTATGCCGAGATTGTCTCAATTATATACTTAAAAACTTTCTGTTTTATTTATTTTAGATATTAACAGTTCAAAAGTTATCAAAGAAAGAGAAACGTTCCCTGAATTCGTATTACGTCGATCTGAGTTTACCTGGAGAGAAACGTATGTACATAAAGATTTATAATTACAATGCAAAGTATCTTAGGCAGCCTTTAAAAAAATTGTTTGTTTGCCTTCTTCCGACCATCTGGTTAAAATGACCCTATTAAAAACTTTTGTCAAATTCTAGGAAATATTTTTTGCTGAATGGAAAACATATTTTGGAGATAAGAGTTGATGATGGAAATCTTTATGAGAATCGCCTAATCTACAGACCAGTTTTTCCTTATGGGTCAGGAGAGGGCAAGCAAAACTATTTTAAAGTTGGCCTAAATTATTTGTATTTCTTGGGGAACTTACTTATAGGATAAATTTCTTTTAAATTTCAGATGACTTTGGAACACTACCATTAATTGAAGAAAATGATTCATCTGGAAAATTTAAAACACAAATTATGATAAAAAATCCAGGTTGGTTCAGGATAATCGTCGATTTGACCATAAAGGCTGGTAGGAATGTTTGTACCAAACGCACCAAAAACTTTGTCCGGGTTACCTGCGAGGATCCATATTTAGGACGAAGAACGTTATTGGAAAAAGACTGGTCATGCTCCCCGGAAATAGAAGAGCGTTTGATTCAACCAATTGAACTAGGAGAAACTTTTAGATTATCAGAAGGAAGCATTGTTTATGTAGAAGTTTTGAACAGAACCCATCTATATAAATATGAAAATTTGAATTATGTGGGATTAGTTGAAATTTAGCTGGACACTATTTATACTATTCTACTTTAGTTGAAGGAATACGTGTGTTTGTGAAATAGTGACGCCCACGTATGACATGTTATATAGAGGGTTGTTTTGTACATATATTTATATTAGAATATTATTGATATAATTATACATGAATACATGTATTTATGATCTTTCAAGCTCTAGCACCAGTCATTCAAAAGTTTTGGCCAAGGCTAACGTTTGGAATTTTTTTGTTAAAGTTGGTCAAACTCCAGGGTCAATATGTCAGATTTGAAGATGCCAAAGATTTGACTCGTCACAAAAGATACACATGTGAATATGAAATTTATAGCTTCACCTACTCAAAAGTTAAGGGCATGGTTAAAGTTTTTGCGGAAAAGGGGAAACAGTGCAAAAACAATATACCCCCGAATCTTCGAAAATAATAACATTATTTTACAGAAATATAAACTTTTTTCAAAGTTGTGTCAAAGTGTGGTGGTAAATACTAATTTAAAAGATTTGTAGGGAAAGGCGGTGATTGAAATCCTTTTAAATAATAAGTGTAGAGGAACCGTTTCTCGAAATACATTACTAGCATTTCGTTTAAAAGACATGCCTTTTACTTTAGCGTCGTTGGTTTTGTTTTGACGTTTTTAATTTTACATGGAATGAAATCTTCTATTTGTTGGACAAAATATTTTAAAGATGAAAATTGAACAAACAATAAATACTGTCTTTATTATCATCGTAAATGTCAAGAAAAACACGGGACACAACAAGTTTTTTTTTGTTTTTAGTTTTCAACATGTTCTCTATATGTTGTCTATTAAAACAGGTGTTCACATATATACAGTGTATATTTATTGTGTATTCAAAATAAATACCTGATAATGAGTCAATGTTATTACGATTTGTTTGTTTTTTTTCTTTTTGCAAAAAGCCAAAATATTCATTATGTATGGAGAAAATGATAGACTCAAAGGAAGCAAATGACTTCTCACTTACTTTTGATTGTTGAATAAGAAATGTGAGTTACATGCAGCCTTATATAATCTTTTATATTTTTACGTATATACAACAGTCTGCAAGTAGTCTTTTTAAGCTATAGTTTTATTTCGTGCTTATTAATTCTTTTTCTAAATTTTACCATGTCCTTAAAAATATTGAATTATTGTTGTTGTGACATTAGGAACGAATAGATAGAAAAACTCACATTTATAAAATAAAATTCTTTTGTCTTCTGAGGACTCCGTTTTGCTGTGTAATATAATAATTAAAATGTTATACCCTTTCTAGCTTTATTTAATTAAATATCATTAAAATACTTGCTCATGTGTAGTAAACATTAAAGCATGGGTATTCTAAATCTTTATCCCCCTTTTCTCTCTCAATATAACATGGACTTTTTCTGCGATATATTTTTAGCAATAAGTACTCATTATTGCCAAATATGAACTAGAGGTACTGTGGGCAGTGATGTCACTAAATGGGACCCCCACCTCCCATATGATTATGAGGTAAAGTCCATGTTTTGCTCTTGGAGACCTGGAATAAGTGTCAGATCCAAAAGTAAAATAAGAGGTGCGCAAAGCCATTATGTAATAAAGAATCTATGAAAGTATCATTACATTTTATTCAGTGGTTAAGGAGGAGTTGCAGATAAGAGATAGGTACCCTTTAATATTTTTTTTAATGGCACTGTCAATGGTTGGCTATGGGAAATCCGAAATATGTCTCCGATCAAAAAGCAAATTAGGAAATGTACAATTGCACTATGGATAAAAGAATCTTTGAAAGTTTCATTATCTTTTATTCTGCAGAGGTATAAGAGGAGTTCTTAATAAGAGACGGACAGAAAGACGGACAGTACACAAAACACACATGCAAACGGACGGATGGACATCCTGATCACTATATACCCTCCCACTTTTCAAGCGGGGGGGGGGGGGGTATAATAAAGACACCATACAAAGCACAACGAGATAAGCAAATATACTTATTACATGTATACCCCAAACCCGCTTTGGTAGGAAAATATAGTGATTGTGATGACCATCTATTCGTCCTTCTGTACATGTACTCCCGTCCGTCTGTCTGTACGTAGGTCTATTGGTCTGGTACACTTTTGGCTACCCATCTCTTTTCCGCCACTGAATGAAATTTTATGAGACTTTCATAGATTCTTTGTGAAAAAGTGCCATTCTTACCACCTTTTTTACTTTTTGATCGGAACATTTTGGGTTTTCCATTGCAAAACATGGATACTGCCATTTTTGCTATAATATTGAATGGTACATGTACCCATCTCTTATGCGCATCTCCTTCTATACCACTGAATAAAATCTATTTTAATGATACTTTCACGGTTCTTTTAAATTATTATATAATGCCATTGTGCACCTAATCTACTTTTTTATCCGATACTTTTTCAAGCCTTCTCCGAACAAAACAGGGACTTGTCCATTATAATCATGTGGAAGGTGGGGTATCATTTTGTTTTCAGTGCTCACAGTGTCTCTAGTTTATGACATGGAGACCTAGAATGCTTACACCTAACACGGGTTCTTACTTCTATACAATTAAACATTGAATTCATATTTTTGGATGTCTTCGGTCCTATAACACACCTGGCCGTGCCGAAAAATTGAATAGGTATGATAATTTGTCGGCATGGCCAGGTGTGTTATAGGACCGAAGACATCCAAAAATATGAATTCCATGCTTATATTTACATTCCCTTATTTTCCTTCTTCATGATTGCTTATTTCGTTAATCTTAAATGTGAATTTAGCGCCCTTTAAAACTGCCGTGGTTAATAGACGAAAGAGCCCTTTGTGACGTCAAATGACGTTAGAAAGGTAAATAACACAAACAAACATTGCGAGGGAAAAAGTGACAAATTAATTCTTAACGCACATTACGTTAATTTTTCAGGATTATAGTTTTTCATTTAATTGAAATAAAAAATGTTACATTTTGGTGTTCCTAGAGTATTGAGATGCATATAGTTCCTACAATGTATTCTAACGCGCGGTGACAAGGTTTCGCGTGTGCTATAGAGAATTTAATGTCGTGGATTTCTAATGGATTTCATAAGGGAAATTACACTGAATGTAAATATTAAGAATTGGATTCCTCCAAATTTATTCGAACAATAGGAATCCATGAAAAAAAATCATACAATCATACAATTTTTATTAAAGACATTTTAACATAAAAGTAAATGTTAGAGAACAAACAAAAAAAAAAATTAAGTCAAATTCATTTAAAACATCACACTACAGATAACTTTAATGAAAGTCAACTTCTTTTGATTTCCCTTCTATGTAAGCTTCCAAAATTTATATAGCTTACAGATAACCAGATCACATGTATTAAATCTGATTTTTAAAAATGAACTGAGTTAACACATTTTACAGTTTTAGACAAAGTAATTAGATCTGGCCTTGTAAAAACCAATAAGTGGTACAATTTAAAACATGCATGTCGGAAGGAAATAACGCATGTTCCTTATATCTTGATATATCGGGATATTCTGAAAAGGGAAAAAATCGTTACATTTTTGTTAAATTACTAATAATTTTCAGTAAATAGGGAGGAAATCATATTATTTAATAACATTTTGTTTAATTTCTTTATTCCTATTTGCAATTTTCTTCAAATCATTTAGTGGTATTGGAGGAGCTCTACAGTGGAAATCGGGCCAATCACTTTTCACATCGCTGTTTTTGAGGGGGGGGGGGGGGTGGTTATGATAAAGGATTTTACATAAAAGACTCTATTTTAATTTTTTTTTTCAAATCATTTTCATTCATATCATAGATTCCGACAATTGGTACCCTATAAAGAGCCCTTATCTTTTTTTTTATTTTTTGATGAACTGCAGGTACCATAATCTTTTTCCAAACAAATCTTTTCTTATGTTCGTTGAAAGCCCCCCACCCAACTTTTTGTTGCAGTATATTAAAGTAATGTAGTGTTTAAGTAACAAGTTTGTTTGTGAAACACTGATGCCTCCGTATGGCAACTTATGGCGATGGTTGAATTTTCTCAAATGCATGTCAAACTCCAAAGGTGAAGGTGAAAAGGTCAAAACTGTTGGCACCTAAATAAAGGTCATGTCACAATAAAATTTTTGGTGCAATTCCTTGTAACCTTCCAAGTGCGTCTAAATCCGACATAAGACGTCATCAAGTTTAATATTTTTAAAAATTGATATTTTGCAGTTTCTTTTCAGAGAATTTGTTCCACCCACAAAATGGAAAATCAAAGAAAAGGTGTGAGATTTTTTGCAAAACATATCATTTGTAAACAATATTTTATTTTTGAGCTTAAATGCGTCAATGAATCAAAAAGACATCTGCTTTTAATTGTTATCTTTATTTAAGCATACATTTTTCTAAAACGAGTTTCAACATAATAATATATCATAAATTGCATGATTTTTGTAGCATAAAGTCAAGGAACCAATTATGATTTTTTCAATTGTCATTCCAATTGTAAAACTGAAATAGAATGGATCACAGAAATATACTACAGCGTAGAATAATAATTACTATGACAAAGGAAGCAAATGAAATTGGTACATGTAACAGGCGTTGCATTTAGTATTGTAATTTACACAGACCGTTTCATAGTGTACGTGTGTTTATTAAACAGAATTAGACAGAATGTTTCCAATTATGCATCAACATCTAAATTGAAAGACATTGTATAATCACAAATTTTCGTGACGTCAATTTTCGAGGTTTCAACTGAGAGGTATAATGCATTTTCACTACCGATTTAACACAGCCCTGGCCTTACACCAGAACCCTTAATGCCTATCAAAACTAAACACGAATTCTTGTTTCCTTATTTTATAAACAGGAGTAGGAAAAACATTTTGAAAGA